AAGTGTGGTAGAGCGACAAGGTTTTCGGAAGATAGGAGTAAGGATAAGAAAAGGAGAGTGGGAAGGTGATGAAAGTGGATAAGACCTCGAGATTAAGCCCGTGAAAATAAGAGAGTTGATGGGTTCTCTAAGTTATAGAAAGCTCAGTATATCCTGGATGAACTCAGAGGAGTCTAAGACTAGTAGCATTTAGAAGAGATGGAATGCTACCCTGGTAGTATAATGAGGGTGCAATTGTGATGGATGAAGGATGATGTTTGGTCCTTCGATTGAGTAATGATTTGAAAAAAGAAAAAAAAAGAAGGGATTTCATGAATTGTGCAGGATTAAAATACTCACATAAGGTGAATCACATTGGGATGCTATGAAGTATGGCTAAGGAAACATGGTATCACCCTAGGTGGATCAGTCTAATCATTTCAGATGTTCACCGATGAGACGTGAGCCCTAGCAGCAGTGTTACATAAAATTTCAAGTTTTCAATGGTAGATTATAGATCAATATTGAGGTGAATCAACAATGTATGTATAAGATCTACAAAGTATGAGATGAGATAGGACGTCATTCTTAAGATAAACAGTAATGAGAAAGAATTAAAGGTGTTAGATTTATACATTACTAGTATACATTACTAGTATACATAAAGGAAAGGAAAGCAGCTCCTCGTCGTCATCTGTGCTTAACAAGAGTTAAAATAGAATTATATTGTTTTTCATGTGCTTATGTTTGAAGATTGAACTGAGATTAAGGGCCCAACACCTGCGACTTTATTTGCGTAGGTGGAACTACGGTAAAAAGTTATATTGTCGATCTACCACTTTTGTCCTTCAAAGAAATTAAGGAACACTTTATGATGAGGATTTATTAGACATTTCCCGCCCAACTAAACGGTGGCTTTCTATTCTTATCCTTGAATTGAACGATGAAACTCTCACCAGCCTTGTTTCAAGAAATTTTCCTTCAATACTCTTTCAATTTTCTTTTTAAGTCTATGTTCTTCCCTTGACATTCAGTGTCAACTGTTATGCCTTTGTGACTTTTTGGCCTTTTGGTGAGCACAGTTACTCTGTGGTTCTTCTACTTAATTTCTCCCTCTTTAATTCTCTGCTCTGCTTGATTAACTAAACTTGCATTCTCTCAACATGTTCCACTCTTATTCTCCAATTATTTATACTTGGAATTATTTAATTCGGGGTATCTGGTTTTCTTTTGCTCTTCACCATACAATATCTCTCTCAAAATTTCAATTGTGAGTCATGGTCTCTAATTTGAAAAATTTGCAGTAGATTTGGGTCAATCTATAATGGGTATTATATTTGCTCCAGCAACTCTAATGCTGTTATTTCCTTATTTTTATACTTTAGAATATTTAGTCTCTAAAATGGTCTCAAGTACACATAATGGGAGATAGAAACTACATTGAAGTAGATGCATTCTCATAACAAAAGTAGTTCTTCCTACTCGGCAGAACAAAATGAAGAAATGAATTTCAGACGGTGTGAGAGGTATAAAAAAATGGCATCCACAGAAAAACAGGCTCTGCTGCTAAAATGCCGACTACGAGGAAAAAATTCCGTTGCATGGTCCTTTTTATCTAAAACAGGTTAGAATACTAAGCATGTGTGTTTTCCAGTTTCGTGTAGAATGTTCTACATGTTCGTATGCATGTGCTCATAAATATGCTTACTTCGTCAAGCTTATTTGATTACTTTGACATTAGCCACATTTTTTGTTACAATTATTAGCTAACATGCATCACGCCACTACGCTAGCATCCCGCCCTCACAGGGCAAAAGGTTCTGCCCGTCCATACTCAATATTTGAGTTACGCAAGTACAATCCTCTATGGAAAAAGTTTTCACAATTTTTCAATTGAGAAAATATTTATTATATTTCCTAAAATTATCTTCTGCTAGGGTCAACGTCTGGTACGGCTAATGAACGAAATCAGAATTCTTTTACTATTCTGAATAAAGGTCGGTGTATATTGCAGTATTATTTCTTACAAATCTGGCTTTGCCTTTCCTTTTATTCATTGTGACCTTCTGGTAGCTGCAGGTCCAAAGGAAAATAAAACAGGCAACATAGCCATTAGCCAAATTCGATTAGAAACGTCCCACTAAACTAATTTCACGTTGCAAGTTCTGTCGAGCTAAGAAATTTCAGTTTGAACCTCCTGCATTTTGTTGTAGCATTGGTTTAGTTAGCTTAACTGCACACAAAATGCCCGCAGAATTGCAGAATCTATATGTAGGAAACACTGAGGAATCTAAATGCTTTCACACATAATTAGAACATACAATAATATCTTTGCATTTATATCACTTGGTGTGAGCTAGGACAGAGATTTAGCGAGAAGAAATCATGGTATTTATATTTTTAGAGTTCAAGGACAAATGTATCATTTCATAGATGATCTATTCCCTGCGAACCAAAATGCAAAAAATCTACAATTATACTTCTATGACAATGATAATGAACTAGCAAACAGAATGACTTGTTCCGATAGGATTGATGAAAGTATAGTCTGAAATTTGATGGAGTTGCTGCGAAATAATCCATATTCTATATTTTTAAGATCGTTGACTAGTGTTCCAAACCTGCCAAGCTTCTATATTGCGCTTAAATGTAATGCGGGCTTGGATCAACGAGTATATAACCTCCCTACTACATCAGAAGTTGCTGCAATATGGGTTAATAGTAGTAATGTTATTCGAGCACCTCATATTCGAATTTAGACTAATAGTAACAGGTCACAATTAGTGAATTATTATATGGTTGTTATGATCCTTTATAGTATCCATTATTATTTTCATATGGACAAGGGGGATGGCATTGTGAAACTGAATAGATGATGCCTGCAACTAGAATTCATGGACAAACTATTCTTGTGAAAATGAAGTCATACCAAATATTAGGAACATCTGTTCAATGATGGATATCAAATGGAAGAGCATGTCCTACAACAGAAAAACCAAAAAAGAGACAATTGTTCTATTCGCGAGTATTATTATTTTAAACTTCAAATGAGAAATGACGATGAAGATGATGTTTTACACATAGGAAGATTATTTCAACAATATTCTGTAAATGAATATATAAAACTTGAAACACAAAGATTAGACTTTATCTCATTTAATCTAGATTTGTTCAGAGTCGATATGTTACAGAGAATTGGCGATGCTTTGCGATTTGGTGAGAGGTAAGCTGCTAACATTGGAAGACAAAATTTCCTCCCTGTTACATTTATTGGTGGACCAAGGGATATGCGTCGACGATATATGGATGCTATAGCATTAGTGCAACGATTTGAAAAATCTAATATGTTTTTAACTATGACATGCAACACATCTTGGCCAGAAATAAAAGAACATTTACTGTCAACTGATGAAGTTCAAAATAGACCCGACTTTATTAGTAGAGTATTTAGAGCCAAAGTAGAAGAACTAAAAAAGTACATAGTGAAACACGAAGCATATTTGGAAAAGTTGTCGCTTTTATGTTTACCGTGGAATTTCAAAAGCAAGATCTTCCGCATGCTCATTTTCTAATCATATTGACTGACAAATATAAATTGCTGATAGCTGACTCTTATGATAATATCATCAATGCTAAAATACCTAATGAAGATACAGAACTTGATCTTTATTCACTTGTTCTTCAACACATGATGCATGGTCCATGTGGAGAACTAAATCCTACTAATTTATGCATGAAAAAAAGATTGCTGTAAATTTGAATGTCCAAAAGAGTACTCTGATCAAACGTCAAAGGGAAATAAACTCATACCCAGTTTACAGGAGAAGAAATACTGGAGAAAAGGTAAAAGTCAGAGGATACTTTTTAGACAATTCTTGGGTTGTTCCCTGTAATCCCTATTTACTTGGTAAGTTCAATTGTCACATGAATGTTGAAACATGTTCGGATATCAAAGTCGTCAAGTATCTCTACAAATATAATTGTAAAGGGCATGATAAAATTGTATTTTTTCTACACCATGACACGACTATAGAAATAGATGAAATAAAAGAATATCGATCAACTAGATGGGTGTCACCTCCTAAAGCTATGTGGCGCTTATTTGGTTTCTCTATAAGTGAAATGAATCCAAGTGCTTACCATCTTCAGTTACATCTTGAAAGACAACAATTTATTTCTTTTAAAAGCACTGCAAATATAGACACGGTTGTAAACAACCCAATGATTAGAAAAACAATGCTAACTGAATTTTTCTATATGAATGAAACAAATGATGATGCTATTGAGCTTAACTTTCTATACAAAAAATTTCTAGAACACTTTGAGTGGTCAGTAAGTGAAAAAATGTGGAGTCGCCGCAAACTACAATGTACTATTGGACGTGTGGTAACATGTCACCCTACTGAAGGAGAAAGATATTATCTTAGATTATTATTAATGAATATAAGAGGTCCTAAATCATATGAGGATATACAAACAGTGAATGGAGTATGTTGTGATAAATTTAGAGAGGCCGCAGAGAAAAGAAGATTATTATATTGTGATAAAAATTTGATTGAATGTATATCTGAGGCGGTGAGCTATCAGATGCCTTGCAGTCTAAGACACCTATTTGCCACATTGTTGGTACATTGTTGTCCTACTAATCCAAGAGACATATGGAAAAAGTTTGACGATGCGATGTCAGAAGACTTTCAGATCTTCGAGTTAAAGATATTCAACATAAAGTTTTGAGCCATATTAACGAGATTTTACATTTGACGGGACACAATGTTAATGAGTACAAAATTATTTCTGAAATTATTTAGACTTCTAGAGAAAGAAAAGAAGCAAGAGAAGTTCACTTGGAAAGAACAATTACTATGTTTGAGGCATGCATATTGTTAGAAAAAAACTGAACGTTGAACAACGAAGAGCATACAATGTAATTATTGCCAGAACATTTTCAAATAAAGGGGGAGACTTCTTTATTGACGGTCCTGGAGGAACGGGGAAAACTTTTTTATATCGTGCTTTGTTAGCTACCGTGCAATCTAAAGGATTCATTGCGCTAGCAACAAGAAGCTCAGGTGTTGTAGCTTCTATCCTTTTTGGAGGACGAACTGCTCATTCACGTTTTAAAATCCCTGTTGATATTGATCAAAACTACAGTTGTAACATTAGCAAACAAAGTGTGCTAGCATATTTAATTCGAGATGCAAAGCTAATTGTATGGGATGAAGTATCAATGATGAAGAGTAAGATGATTGAAGTCTTCCATTTGCTTTTGAAAGATATTATGGGTACACATGAACTATTTGGTGGAAAAGTCATCATTTTTGGAGGTGATTTTAGACAAACCCTTCCCGTAGTTCGAAATAGAAAAAAGGAAGACTTTATCCGTGAAAGCTTGTTATATTGTAATATTTGGAATCGACTTGAAAAATCACATTTATCTGAAAATATGCATGCAAAAACTGATCCTACCTTATGTAACTATCTGATGAGAATTGGAAATGGAACAGCAAAAGTCAATTGTGATAACAAAATTGAAATTCCAGATTCTATAGTTATTCCTTTTACATTTGAAGAAGAATCGTTAGATGAATTATTTAACATCGCATATCCAAATGTAAGTATATTCTTTTCTGATTCATATTCAGCAACTTCTCGTGTTATTTTAACAACAAAAAATGACTTTGTTGATGAACTATATGATATGCTTATTGCTAAATTTCCTTTTAGATCAAAGACATATGTTGCTATTGATGAAACTATTGAACGCACTGATCAAAGTCAATTTGAAGATTTTTTGCATAATTTAAATCCCCCTGGCTTACCTCTGTATTAGTTAACTCTAAAAAAAGTTATATTACTGCGAAATCTAAATCCTTGTGAAGGGCTATGTAACGGCACACGATTAACATGTTGTAATTTCAAAACGCATATCATAAGCGCTAAAATTGCCAGCGGTGAGTTTAAGGACACACATGTATTTATTCCTTGAATACCACTAGTATCGTCAAATGATGAAAAAGTGCATGTTCTATTCGAAAGAATACAATTTCCGATAAGACTATGTTTTGCAATGACTATAAATAAAGCATAGGGTCAAACATTAAATTTTGTTGATATTTATTTACGCGCCTGTTTCTTCACATAGTCAACTCTATGTCGCATTATCGAGAGCTAAAAGTTCAGAGTGTGTTAGATTGTTGATTTGACCACCTACATCAGATAATCATGATGATCACTCTACATATAATGTAGTTTACGATGAAGATACTCGAAAAGCATTTTCATGAATTTTACAACATACTAGAAAGGTAACATGCTTATGACTTACAAAACAAAGATATTACTCTAACTCTACACTTTAGATTTGATGTAAACGATCGACGACATTTTGAAGTAAGTTACAGGTATTTACTGTCTCTGCCTTTGTATTTTATTTTGAATGTTCAAGAAATATTATGACTACTTTCTAAAAAAAATTCTCTCTCCTTGATATAAAATGATTTGATAATGTTGGTAGTTTAGACCACGTAACCTATTTACTATATGTGCTGTTGCTTGTGCTATACAACCACATCTAATTGAGAAAGAACTGTTACAGTGGGAGCAATTATATTTTCCGGTAGACTACTTGATGTTTTATTTTATTTGCATTGGTTAGGTAGTTTAAGGTGGCTGGTAGATTCAAGGCGTAGCCGAATGGACCACACCGTCTTCGATATGCTCTTTCTAAGAAAATTTTCGGAGTTCCTCAACTTCTTTTTTTCCTTGGTCCGCCTCTTTTGCTCTTCTCTGGCGATGCTAAGCTTGATTGTGTTCACTGTGCCAAAAATATTACATATAAAATGTTAAAATCCTGATCGAAAAAGTTAGTCTGAAAATGAACCTTTGGGAAGTGAATATGAAATCTATCAAACTACCTTTTCCGCATTTCTCATGATTTAATCTTAATTTTATTTTTTTATTCTCAACTTGATTATAAACGTGAAGAGTGCATAGATTCAGGCAGAATTGGAAGTCGCAACTTAAGAGCTCATTTGAGGGAAATACAAGTTTTGTGTATTTTTTTGAAGTTTTTTGCATTTAGATTCAAAGGAAAAGTCATTTCTATTATTTAACTATTTCCTTTCTTATCACTTCCCAGGTCTTCATGGATATGCCTCCAGAATGTGTTGCAAAAGGCCCAAAAAAATGCACATCCAAAAAAGGTTACAGGTAATTTTAGCTTCAGTATTGCATCTCTATAACTCCAAATTCTGTAAATAAATATTAACTAATAAAAATTTTAGAGTTACAACTGATACAATTGTCAGATAGATAGGTTGACACTTAGTCTACAATCTGTTTAGCCATGTCTTTACTTTACCACTGTCTCAAGGTAACTTCATCAGTACTTGCATTTTGTTCATTTTGCCTCAGATTAGTCCTATTCTGAAGAAGAAAAAATTGTATTTTGCTCCTTGTTTTATTATTCCTGTGAGTTTTGGTTACTGTAATGTCTGAGATTGCAGACAAGCGAAAGTATGAGGGGAAGAAGTTGCAGCTACAGTCCTATCTGCTTTGGTTGTTTATAACTTGAATTTCTCACTTGCTAGAGTTGTTACTCTTCATATTAGGACAAACCAAGAGCTTGCATTCTTTTCTTTTTGAAACTTAAGTTTAAAACCTTTATGCAAGATTGATTCTTCAGCAAATTATATTATTTTTTGGCGTTTTAATTTCTTGTAGTCTGTACTTGACAAACCTGTTAACAGAAGGGCAGAATCTTATACCCTTTACACAAATTCTTCCAACATGTACCCAACTCTTGAGTTTTTATTTACTGTTGTTAATATGTATGACTTGCTTGTGCATTTCTCTGATAAGCTTTTTTTAGTATCTCTGGTTTTGTCAATAATATTTATGACTGGAAAACATTCATAACGAAGTTGTAGACTTCAGTCCAAATTGATCAAGTCTACCAGGTTACAGTATGCTTCTATCTCAAAGAGTAAGTTTTCGTCTTTTCTATTGCCGACGTGCATGCTTTATTTGTCATCAATATTAATTATCTCGGGTTACCAACTTGTTCTTTAACTATATATCTATATGGTTAGATCATTATTTTTTTACTTGTTTATTGTTCAAGTTTCATAAACCCTCCCCTAATTCCTTGTTAGGTGTTGGTGTATGAGAACAGATCTGTCTCCCTGCATATTACAGACATAGTGCTTTAGATTCTATCTTCTGCAATTTGAAGGGTGTTATTTCTTCTACGTTATTGATTATTCCGTTGTATTTTCTTGTAAAGTTGTTCTTCCTTGAGATCAAGACACTTTCATGTGGACATCATTTATGAATTTTCAGGGAAACGACAAGTTGGATGCAACCTTACCACTTTTTGTGCTCTCAGGTTTACGCCATGCTTATTAATTCAGGAAGGAAACCTCACAATGTGTATAATTTCTATTGTCTTCTTCTGTGAAGTTCACGAATTGATCCTAGCAGGCCGCTGAAAATGGAGAAAAGAATCTATGTTATCTTCATTAACAACACCAGCAGAATGTTACATGCATCTCGAATCTATGTTATCTTCAGTAACAACACCAGCAAAATGTTACATGTAGTTACTACTTCCGTCATTCGTTTGATAATTCCAATGGATCTGTTAACATCAAGCTTCACTCTAGCCGTGGGGCCCGGGCTTAGCCCGGGCATACCCTCGCTAGTATATGATAAGCAGCGAAAGAGTAACCTGGAGTTTGGAAGCAAACCTCAGTAACGATAAATCTAAGTAAGAGTTATGGTACAGTATGACCTGCCTAGATGCAGTAAAATAATGCGGATGGATAACTAGGTCTATGAAATAAGACATAGCAATATTTGTAAGTTCGACAAGGTACCGAGCGAAGAACTTCAATAATGGCTAAAGATCAGAGGAAATAGGAAAGAAGAGTCACATAGGCGCGCTTACAAGGTCAAAGTCACACAGACTGCATGATAGAAGGTAGCAACAGTTACGGGATTGGAATGATTCCGACCACAAGTCATGGTGTGAGAAAGAGGCCTAAAGGGGGTAATGCCTTGGCCTTTGGATTTACTCAAAGATCAGTTGCCTAAATGGAAAAGAGAATACTAAAGTATTCGCAAGAGCAATGGGTTATGAGAATGATAAGTGCATCAGTCAACATTCAAGGACGAATAAGGGGGGAATGATGTTATTCCCTACAGTATTACGTCGATGTTATGCCCCGCAATACTATATTACAATGATATTACACCCTATAGTATGATACATTGAATTTGTCGTAAGATAATTGACATCAGTTCAAGGATGAGATTATTTGGAAATTATAAGTATTATGTTGTTTCAAATAAATTCATGAAGGTGACAGGGTAAGCAAATCGAAGAAAATGACTTTCGTCGAAGTTTGTCGTTTTGAGATAAAATACGGTCCGAGCTATAATAACCGGTATTTATGGACTAGTACCATACAAGGTACCACATGACTATGATAGTAAGGTGTATAAAGTGTGTTAAAAGTAAGTAGTATTTTAAGTAGTTTGAGATAATTATTAATTATGTGGATAATTGGGTAATTATTGGATTAGTGAGGAATTATCAAATTAATTAAGAAAATGAGTGGATAGTCTTAAGAAGCCCCAACGTGGCAGCAACATATGATCATTTAAGTGACTCTTAAGTCACATTGAAAGGTGGCAAAATTGGAGGAATTATTGGTGGCCAAGTCATTCATATTTGGGGCCCACAACCCACAGAATATAAGAGATCTTCCTAAGTTATTAAGTGAGATGTTGATGAAGGTTCCAGCAAATTAAAACAAAAGTTTGCATCTTAATAACGTGATGTTATTGAAACGAAAATTCAAAATAAGATCTCTTAAGCATCTTAGCAATGTGAGGTGTTAAAATTTTAAGGGAGTAAGGTGCATTCTTTCTCAAGAATATCATACGGATTTTTCCCTACTCCGATCCTGCCGATTACATGTCGTCGCAATTGACGTATATTAGAGGGATTGTCAAGAGAACCGGCTCAGGTATGTTAAGGCTATCCCTTCTTTCCTTTTTGCATGATCCATACTATACAAACGAAATGAGCAAATGTTCTTCAATTCCCATGTGTCTTATTATTACATCTTCTGTTCATGGGTCTCAGAAAAATAAATAAGTTGAAAAAAGTTTATTTCGTTATATTTTTCAAAGGCATAATGGTCTTATGACATTCCGAGAGATTTTATTGACGTACATCTCATGTATTGCATTCATTTATACATGTACATTGACCCATGACCAGATGGCGTTACACGCATTTATATTTATATATATATATATATATATATATATATATATATATATATATATATATATATATAATATATGGGATATGGAAAAAGGTTACGGCGTTATATACGCACCACCACCTGATCAGCTGGTATACGTTGATGATTTTGCCCACAGTGGTCGAGATGATTTGATGAGATGCCCTTAGAGGCTTGATGATGTTATGAACACATGTACCTATGCACGACAAGACATTAATACGCATATGCATCACACTATAAGTATTTCATGATTGATAGAGTTATCCAGACTTACAAGTTAAGCCATTTACTCCATGTTTCTTCCATGTCTTTTATATACTTATTTATGTGCCTTACATACTCGGTTCATCATTCGTACTGATGTCCCTTTTGCTTAGGGACGCTGTGTTTCATATCCGCAGGTCCCGATAGATAGGATGTGAGTCCTCCAAGTAGGCTATCAGCTTAGCAGAAGGTGTTGGTGTGCTCCATTTGATCCAGAGTTGCTTATTTGATCAGTATGATTAGGACATAT